GGGAGGGGAGGGAGGGAAGGGAAGTGAGAGAAAGGCAGGCGGGCAGGCAGGCAGCTTCTAGTCAAGATATTAAAAGGCAGAATAAAATATTTAGTTAAAGCAACTTGAATTCAGTTACAACTTGAATGAAGTATCTAAATTATATTTGAATATCCTCTCTTTAAACTTGTCATTTTGTTGTTCTTTTATCAGAATACAGGTCTCAGTTTTTGACTAGAAAAAAGTGGTTATTAAACACCTTATTATTCAATAAGGTGCCATAAAATAGGCCACAGAAACCGGGAAGTCACGTGGCATCTGAACTTATGAAAAGTCCAAAGTTACTTGCAATCCTAATGCTTTCTTACCCAGCTGTTATCCCTAGGCAGGACAGGAAGTTTCTGTTCAAAAATAATAGAGAGGGAAAAAATGATCACTATTTTCTTAGATCTAAACACTAGAAATTTCTAAGTCACTGTATTCACACAATTTTTCTAACATGGAAATTTTCATTTAATACAATATTGTTATATTTTTGTCATTCAACTAAAATATGCTTTTATTTATCCTGCCCCAAAGCTATGCTTATAATGTATTCATTCAATTAACAGTCTTTAAGCCTCCTCTGTGCAAGCCCTGTGTCAGGACACACACGATTCCAGACCTCAAGCATTTATAGCTTAGTGTGAAAGTCAAACTAGAAGATTAATGATTACAATACAGCATGATAGGTATTATAATAGAGGAACCCAAAAAGAAGAATATTCAATTAAACTGGATCAAGGACACTTTCTAAATCAAGTAAGACTAAGTTATATTTCGAAGAGTGAGTAGGAGTCAGACTACATAGGGAGACGAGCGTCACATGGGCAGTGCATGAGTTTGCTAGGGCTTCCATAACAAAGTACTATGATACTGGTGGCTTAAATAACAGAAATTTACTATCTTATAGTTCTGGAGGCTTGAAGTCCAAAATCAAGGTATCCTCAGGGTTGGTTCCTTCTGAGGGCAGTGAGAGAAATATCTGTTCCAGGCTTCTCCTTTGGGCCTGCAGACTCCATCTTCATCATACATCCCTTCACATCATCTTCCCTGTATGAATGCTTCTGTGTCCCAATTTCCCCTTTGTATAAGGACACCTTTCGTAATGGATTTGAACTCAGTCTAAGAGCCTCATTTTAACTTATTTCCTCTGTAAAGTTGCTACCTCTGAATAAGGTCGCATTCTGAGGGGCTAGGGGTTAGGGCTTCCACGTAAATTTTGAGAGATGTTAGTCTCAACCCATGACAAGCATTAAGTTCTCCTTTCTAGATGGTGGAGTAAAAATGTTCCTGTTCCATTCTCCCCAAAATTACCCTAAACAGAGGAGAAAATGAAATACACACAAGCTTTATCTTCAAAAACCAAGAGATCCATATTCACAGAGGAATAACTAAGAAGGCAAAGTAGGTAAAGAAACAGTAAATGACTTAGACAGGAAAAGAGCAAACTTGAAGACTTGCTGGAAGGGGCTAGAGGACACCCATGGGGAGCCAATTCTTTTCACAGAGCAACATGAGGCCCCAAGAAATGGATGCACCAGCTATTGGGGAAGACAGATGGGTAACAGGCAGGTAAAAAGAAAGGAATTACTAGGAAGTTTCATATAGCGTCCTGACACAGGGCTTGCACAGAGGAGGCTTAAAGACTGTTAATTAAATAAATACATTATAAGCATAGCTTTGGGGGAACATAAATAAAAGTATATTTTATTTGAATGACAAATGAAGCCCTTCACCCCCATATACCTCCTCCTGCCTTGAAAATGCAGGTGCTAATTCACCCAACACAAACAGGAAATGAAAAGTGTATTTTCTAGATAAATTAAACTGGGCACACATGTAAAGACAGCAGCAGTGGGCAAATGCCAGGCTGAGAATGAAATGACTTTATAAAGTCCTGCATACTGACCAGTAAGACTCTGAGGCCCTCTCTTTGAAGTTTTCTTCTGCTTCCTGTACTGTTTCTTCTGAGAACTACAAAGTGACATATATTTTAAAAGTAACAAAGAAAAAAAAGCAGTTTGGGGAATTAAAAAAAAAAATCTCCCCACCTTCCCCCCTAAAAAAACCCAAATCAATAAAATATTTAGAAGATAAAGTCAAGAAAATACGCCAAAGCATAGAAAAAAAAGCAGTCAAAGATAAATTACAGGAGAAAATCTCTAAAGTTAGAAGATAAATCCAGGAGGTCTACAATTTGAATAATAGAAATTCCATAAAGAGAAAATGAAGGGAAATAAATCAAAGAAATAACACAAGAAAATCATCTAGAACTAGAGATGAATTTCCAGATTGAAAATGAATTTAAAAAAGACTTTCACACTAAATCACATCATTACAGAATACCAGAAAAAGAAAAGATGATATTAAAGTATTTTCAGAGGAAGCAGAGAAAAGCCCTCATATAAGGCCTGAAATTCACATGGCCTTGGATTTCTCAGGAACCAATGTTCAACTTTAGAAGAGCAATGCCTCAAAATTCTGAAGGAAAATTATTTCCAGTTTGGAACAGTCATCAGTAAAAATGCAACCAAAGTATGAGAGCAGAATAAAGATAGTTTCAGACATGAAAGGACCTGAACATATTTACCTTCCATGTGTCTTCTCTTGGGAAGCTGCTAAGTAATATGCTTCACCAAAACAAAGAAATAAAGCAAAAAAAAAAAAAAAAAAAAAAAAAAAAAAAAAAAAAAAAATACAAGAAATGAGACCCAGAAATCAGAGAATCCAACATAGGAAAGCAATAAAAGTAATTCCCAAGGTGACTTTAAAACGGTGATCCTCAACCTTGGCTGAACATTAGAATCAGCTGGGGAGCTTTTTAAAACCCTGAAGCCCAGACCACAATACAGCAGGCTCGCTGGAGGTGCAACCCAGGTGTCCGTGATTTTTACAGCTCCTAGGTGAATCTAGTGTGCAGAGGAGGCTGAGAACCATTGGGTTAAAGGAGAATTCCAGAACAACAGCTGTGCAGCAGGCCTACAAACACCCAGGACAGCTTAAAGCAGGAGGAAAGAGGGATCCAGGAGGAAGAGAAAAGAAAAAACAAAACTGACAAATTATCTGACAGGCATAAAATGGAAAATTGTTTAGAAATTTGCATCAAGAGGCATTTTGTAGAACAGTCACAAAAGTTGTCAGAAGACAGTCAAACGTTCAAAGGAAACTAAGAAAATGCTAAACTATGTTTAAAAAGATGTACAGGAAGATGTAACCAGACAACACCAACTGGCTTGGCAGTGAGGAAATATTTATATAGTCATAATAGGGAAAGCTCAAATTACTGAATAATTATAAGAATGAGAGGAAGAAATGAGTTAATAAGGTCTAAAAGTGATTCATCAAGAGAGAGCAACACATACTAACAGATATTCAGAGCTAAGAAAAGAAACAGGTGGTGGGGTCCCCAGCATCTTAATGACCCCCTAAAGATGTCCTAATCCCTGGAATCTGAATGTTTCTTTATACGGCAAAGGGACTTTGCAGATTAAGGATCTTGAAGTAGAAAGATTAGCCTGGATGGTCCAAGTGGACCCACTGTAATCAAAAGGGTCATTATAAGAGGAAGGCAAGAAGGTCAGAGAGGGTGCAGAAGGTGGGAAGAGATGGAAGCTCAATTGGACCAATGCGGCCGTGTGCCAAGGGTTTGGGGGGACAGGGGACAGATGCCCCCTGGAACCTCCAGAAGGAAACATTCCTGTTGATAACTCTGATTTTAGCATTTTAAAACTCATTTTTTATTTCTGATCTCCAGAAATGAAAGAGATACGCTTTTTTTTTGTATTAGGACACTACATTGTTGCTAATTTGTTACAGCAGCAAGGTGGAAGTGGGATTCAAGTGCAGCAAAGGGAGACATATGCATTGAATGAAGGTTTTATTCTACTTCTTCATGAGTGAGCATGTGACACGTAGATAAAAAATACAATAACCAACCTGAGTGCTCACAGTAGTGTGAGAGAGGAAGGCTAGAGAAGCATGAGCTATAGAGCTTGGCCCCTCAGACATTAGCACACACACGCATCTCCCATGGATTGTATTAAATGCAGGCTCTGATTCAGGAGGTCTGCAGTGCAGCCTGAGATTGGTCTGCATCTAAATCTTTGCTCCTACTTTCAAAAGCTTTGCTTCCCCTTACCCCTTTGCAGAAGAAAAGATTTAGCCTCGGGGGCAGACCCTAGAGGACTAGAGAGGGGCAGTTCTAAAGAAAGAGACAGAACCTAAAACTGAGGGAAAGAGGAAGGGGCAGAGAGAGGAAAGGGCTTTGTGCCTAAGCTAAGACATTTTGATTTTATCCTTGAAGACATGAGGGACCACTGAATGATTTGGAGCAGTGAAACACCAGGATGAGATTTTTTGTTGTTGTTATTCTTTGTTGAGGAAGTCGGGGCATAAGGCTGGGTGCAGGGGCTCACTCCTGTAATCCCAGCAGTTTGGGAGGCTGAGGTGGGTGAATTATTTCAGCCCAGGAGTTTGAGATCACCCTGGGCAATGTGGAAAAACCCTGTCTCTACAAAAACTACAAAAGTTAGCTGGGCATAGGAGTACATGCCTGTGGTCCCAGCTACTCAGGAGGCTGAGGTGGCAGGGTAGCTTGAGCCTGGGAGGTGGAGGTTGCAGTAAGCCAAGATCACGCTACTGCACACAAGCCTGGGTGACAGAGTGAAACCCTGTCCAATTAAAAAAAAAATGAGGGCAGCAAAACAGAGACCAGAAGTCATTTCTTATTTAACTAGAAATATGCAGTGAAGATCACTGAGGAAAGTATAATGATGCTGGTACTTCTGCCTATGCACATGATACAAAGAACTATATTAATCCACATGCAAAGTGAATCCTGTAAATATCTCTTGTCTGAAGTCGTAAGCCAAAAGGAATTTTCTTGTAACCACTAAAGGATTTTTCTTGTAATCTTTTACATTGACATAATTTTCTAGTATTTATTAAATCCCCATCTGCCAATGGCAGATCCACCTTTAATGGAGAAAACTACAAGAGAAAAAGTATTCTCAGAAAAGTTACATTAGGTAGTAAAATTAAAGTATTAAAAAAAAACAAATATAAATTCTTCCAGCTCATCACACCCCATATAGATAGTAATCACATAGTGTTCACATTCTATACATTGACCATAGCTAAAATAAACTGCAGGTGTCCTCTTTTTACAAAGAAATGTTCTTCACAGAAGTGCAATGTACATATTTGATTTTCCTAAAGCATTAGAAATTGTTCGCAAAGCATCCTCAGAAGAATTCTATGCATATGGATTAGAAAGAATGAGAAGACTATAATATGGGTAAAAAGTCAGTTAAATATATTGAACACCGAAAACTTATTAATAGTTTGGGGTCAAAATGGGAGCAGCTATTGTGTGCAGTTTATAAGGAACCATCCTGGGTCCAATCCTGCTCCATATTTTCTATTAATACCTCTGTGGATCCTATGACTAATGCACTAATCAATCCACAGAAAATGCAGCTCTGGGAGACATTGCTAATGCTTTGGATGACAATATTAAAATTCAGGATGATCTTGTTAAACTGAAGAAATGAGCCAAAATCAATGGAGCAGCACACACAGTTCTGCAGGCGTTACACATCAAGGATTCAGGGGGCCCTCAAACAGAAAGGAAGACCAGCCTAGTAGGCGAAAACGCAGTGGTTAAAGCTATCCAACTCCTGTTCTCCCTCTCCCTCCCTGACAGGCACAAGGATATCCAGACAGGTGTATAGTGCTGTCATCTACACATGATTTAACTCCACTACCTACAGCTTTTCAACTGTTTCCCCCAGAGCCCTGCAGTGAGGGACGAGAGATGATGGATTAACATTAATATAAGTTGTGGGGCCCACACTGCTGAATTTACACTTTAGAACATCACATTAGAAGCAGCAAAAAAACACAGGAAACAACTAAAGGTTTATAAGTAAGAGCATAATGACCTTGTCCTAAGGAATGTCATAATATCTTCCTGACACTTAAAAACATGATCTCTACTGAAAAAAAGGGGTGAGGGGAGATGAAGATGAGGGTTCTTTAACAACTTATTTAGCTGCCCAAACCCTGAGAAACCTGAGACTTTCAGAAATGTAAACTCATCTTTTCTTTCCGCTACAACCCTTTCCCAGAATTATCCTTAATTACACTTACTTTCTTGTCCCCAATTAACCAATCGGTAACCAAGCCCTGCTGCTTTCACCTTCCAGGCAGTTTTCTGACCTGCACTCTCTTCTCCATCCTCTCCCCTGCTGTGTTAGCTGAAGTCTTCATCATTCTTCACCCAGACGGATACAAAAGCCTTAGGGGCCTCTCTGCTTCTCTGTTCCCTTAGATCTCTGCTTCGCATTGTTACCAACGTGATCCAGACGTGATCCAGAATGAAAACCCAAATCTAACCTTAAGCCTTCCCTGTTTAAAAATGTTCAACACTTTCAGTACTCACAGGATGAGGTTCAGGTTTTCCAATGTGGCATACAAATTTCTGCAGTGGTTTTCTACCCAGAGCACCACTGGCACGCAGTAGGTGGGGCATTTCTACATGTCCCACTAGTAAGCACCGTGTGGGGCATTTCTAGATGTCTCAGTGTCTGAATGGTGCTACTGGCACTTCATGCCCAGGGGCTAGGGATACTAAACGTCCTGCAGTACTCCAGACAACTCACACAATGAACTGTCCCACCTGAATTTCCTGACGTAACACCACTGAGAAATGGTCCTCATGGTTGCTGCTCACTTCTACAGCCTTCCAGCTCACTTTTCTGCACTGCAGCTACATCACTCTTCTTCCACAACACAAGCCATGCTAATTTCTTGCCTGTATGCCTTAATTCTTGCTCTCTAGGTCTTTATTAATTCTGATACCTGGAAGGACTCATCACTTTACTGAGGCATAGATTAAGCTTCTGCTCAGGTGTCATTTCCCAGGAAGCATGTAACACACATGGTCTGACTTAGATGCTTCTTCTTGATAAGGCAGTAGTGCTTTCTTATCATGATATGCTCTACACTCAGCAGTTTGCTTTAAAACCACTGGTGTTCTCCTTTACAAGTTTCATTGGGTGGAAACTGTAGGCACTCAGTAGGCCTTATATAGACCTATGAATTTGAAGAATGGATGGATGGATGGTTGGATGGAAGGAAGGATGATGGATGGATAGATAGATGGGTGGGTAAATGGATGATTGGGTGAGAGCAAGGACTTCTCTGAGGCTGTTTTAGTCCAGGTGCCCATAAAATAGTACAAGCATTATTTTATAGCTCAGGCAACACTGAGGTCAAAGTTTCAGATCAGGTCACCTGTCCTTAGTTCCAGCATTCTATGATATACAAGTCACTCTATACCCCTAATCTTCAGTCACTAAATACCTCTTTAAAAGGTACCAGGTAGCACCCTGCATAGCATTTCACTTACCCATGTTGAGGATTGTGGGCCACAAACAGCACTTTGACAGGCACTTCTGCCTGGAGATTCTGTGTTCAGTTTGCTCAAGAACTCAGCAGTTTTGCTACCAGGAACACAAACAAGTATTAGTGCCTTCACAAAAATATGAATATAATTATTTATTGTTCCTTTGGATACAAGCCTAGACTTATTTGGGTGACGACTAAAATCGTCCAGGGTAGAACAGAAGGTTAGGTTGAGAACAAGGTATAGTAGAAATCAAAACAAAATGCTATTGCAAGACTGCATTCTTCAAAAACAGTATTTCAAAAATATAAAACTAGGTTTGTGAAATGTGAACCTATGACTTCATTTTTTCCACTTTGTGTTACTGACATAAATTCAAATGCTCTCTCAGAGCACATTCCACAGCATGAGGCCCTAATTTCCTATCTGAACATTTCATGTTTAACACTCAGACTTCAGGGTAGGACTGTGGAATGTTAACGGCCTACAACATTCTGCTTCACACCAGTTTTGCCTGAAGCCCTTTACCCTCTGGGGGTCTTTCTCCCAGTCATCTCATCTCCCTCAGGGCTTTGACTGCTGTCAGAATACACAGACCCTCTAATCCAGTAACTCTTTTCCATTTATGGATCACAGAGCCCTTTGGGACTCTGAAAGCAAAAGTGGACCATCTGTCAACAGACAGACAGACACACACACACACACACACACACACACACACACTCCTTTGCATTTTATTTCAGAGAGGCGCTAAACGCTCCATAGAGGTTAAAAAGTGCTGCTGATTCTGGACTGCATTTCTAATATCTCTTTTTAGATCTGAAAAAAAATTGACCTAAAAATGCCCTCAGTCTAAATAAGAAATTCTGTTTTTATCTTAAAAATCCAAGCCACCACCCCAATTTCTCCTCTCACTTATGCCAAGCATAGAACACTGAAATTGTTTCCTAGTCCTCACCTCAGTGCTTGGCCTGTTCTCCCTACCCTTGATTAATTCCTACCCCTTTGTCCTTTTCTCATGTAATTTGTGGGATTTTTACCTCTTCATTGCTCATTCACAGTCACATACCTCATTGAGCACTGACTTATATTGCACCAGACTCATGCAGCCTGCTCCCATCTTCCTCCCTCCTCCTGCTAGCCCTCTGCTTCTGCCTATTTGAAGCCCAATGCTAAGATCGGATTCATCAAGTACTTAGGACATGGGCATCAAAGGAAACACAAAGTATCTGTTAAGAGCAAATAGTATCCAGTGTGGGGGGAAAACAAGGAATTAGAAATTAAACAGGCGCCAACATCACTTCAAATAATTACTTAGGTAGAACATGGCATTTGAAAAAAGGCCAGAAGCTTGATCTGGGGAAGGAAGAAATAAAAGTGAAGCGACGTCCATAACCCTGAGAAACATTCAGCCTTTCCATTTGTCTTGGGTTACTTATCTTGCCCAGAATAGACAAGGAGACTAATGAAGTCAGAGTCTGGAAGCTGCCCCACTGTCTGGGGCTTTATGAAGTCATCAGTCAAGAGTATAAAAAGAAGAGTGATGCCAGAAGTTCGGGTGAGATCTCCGAATATCCTAAACTGAGTGCAGACTGTAGCAGAAAGCAGGGAAAAAGAAACACTGTGACAAGCAAGGAAGAAACTTCAGACCAAGTTGACAGGCAGCCCCTCAGTTTACAGACAGCCTCTTCTTACCCGCCAATGCCAAGCACAAAGCTGTCTGCATAGCCATGGCCCTTGTGCCAATTATCACTGCCCCACTCATGCTGCAGGATATAAGGCAGAGTGACAGTCACAGGACTGCCAGAGGAATACAGGTAGGGGCCTACAAAAAATGTGGATTACTGCCAAGTGGTCAACTATACAAAGGAAGTCCCACGTTACTACACTAACTGGTATTTTTCTACTATTAGCATTAGTCCCTGGGATATAATAAAATTTCCGTATATTGACTGAATGGAAGTGGAATCACTGAAGGTAACTGTGGTTATATTTAACAAAAATAAGATATAGAACCTGTGTGAGGGGCAAACAAAGGAAAATGTCCTTGTGGGAAGTCCAACTGGACTAAGAACCCTGGACTCTAGCACTATGATTACCTTGCCCTTGGGGTTTCGTGGTATTAGCGCTACTGTGGCTCTACTGCCTGTTGGAGAGGGGTGGTTTTCTTCTTTTTGTCACTCTGATCCAAGCGTAAAGGATTTCTTCCTTTATTCTCCATAGAACAAGATAAAATTTACTTATGTCCAACTTAGGGTCTTTAAGGATCCTTCCTGCTCATTCTTACGTTGATTTCTATGGCATATCCTGAAAGGTCTGTTCGGGAAAATCTTGCCTCAACAGAACACAATTGTAGCAGAAACTGCTAAATGGTCATGAAAAATTTACATTCTCCTCTTCTGGCCAAACAATTTGACTACATTTCCTAGCCTCCCTTGCAGCTAAGCTTGGCTATATGATTGAGTCTTGACCAAGGGAATGTGAGAGGTGAGAAATACCACGTCCAGTACTAGCTTATTAGAAAATTCCCACACATGTGCCTCCATCCATTGTTCTCCTGGCTGGACCAGAGACTGCTCTCAGGGAATGTTGGAAGTTGTGCATTGAAGGTGGTAGCGTCTCTATCAGTTTTGGTTCCTAAATACCTGAGTGGAGGAGGCTGTCTTTTAAATTATGATACAATGATATTTTAAGAAACAGTCTATGCTTTTGTGAATTCACTTATATGTAGTAAAATTACAAACACTTGCCAGGTGAGAAGAAGAGCAGCTCCTGGAATCCAGGAATTGACTTGAGGCTCACATCTAAACCTCAGTGTTATTACACACTGATCTGATCCAACACTGAAGTTAAGCCTTGTTCCACTGTCAGATGTAAATAGTCACACAGAATACCCACTTCACACAAGGTCAGCATGCAATCCACAAATTAACAAACATCATCTCCTCTAAGTGAATGACTGCTAACTTCTTTACTAATTACAGCTTCATAGTCACTCAGTCCTTCCCACAGGTAAGATTTATTGAGATACCCAATCATAAAATTGTCCCCACATTCCGATGGCTCCCAATCCAGAACAACTCCCTGCTTCCACAGGCCCTCCCCAGTATTACCCAACCAAAACACAAACCGTGTAGTAGGGTCTTTCTAACAACTTCTCACTTTGTTCTACCTAACACTTTGTCCTAGGTATAACAGAGGGTTAGGTTGAGAGCAGGGTGTAGTAGAAATCAAAACAAAATGCTACTGCAAGACTGCATTCTTCAAGAACAATATTGGAGAATATTCATGAAAATGGAGATAACTCACCATTCCCCATGGTATGTATTTTCCTTTGCTGCAATGAGTAATAAACCCAACTTGTTCAACTACAGGTATGTTCCTGGTAGTTTTTGGCTAAAGCACACTGACAAAGGTTACATAGCAGGACAGTGGTTACAGCTAAGGAAAGACAGAGGAGGAAGGGATGAGAGTGAAGGGATAACTAGCTGTCTCTGTAATATTTATTTTTTTAATTAACCAAATATAAGTAAAATATTAATGTGACCTTAGTGGTTGATACATATTTTTTGTGTGCTTGAAATGTTTCTCAAATAAAAAGGGAAAAAAAACCACAGACTATGGTGGTGTTCACTAGGGAAAGACTTGGCAGATACCATTCCTGATTTCATAGAACAATAGTTTCCAGAATGCCAGTGGGAAGACCGGCGTAGGGCTGGCTACATGAGAATCATCTGCGGTACTGCCTAGAAATTACTGGACTCAAGCCTTTGACTCTAATTCAGCACGTCTGGAGTGGGATCTGGGAATCTGCGTTTCTTAAAAGCACCCCTGGTGATGTTAAGAACTACTACAGTTGTACAGATGGATATTCAATATGCATAATTATCTTAGGTCTACATGATTCTGACTTATGAATAATTCATGTTATATAACACATTTGGAAATAAAACCTCAGTGTGTCTTAGGAACTGTCTGTATAAGTACAATCTAATAATGCATTCTATGTGTACTTTGCAATAGTGTCACAAACCTGAACTTTGCCACCATGCGGCTTAAGTGAGTAATCATTCATACATGCATGCATGCATTCCTACAGGCAACAAATATTTCCTGAGTCTCTGCCATGTGCTTAGCAATATGGGTTGTAGGACAACCTAAAGAAGTATTATTTTGCTTGAGTCCATTTCACATAACCGGGTATGAGCAAATGACATTCACGTACCTATAAGCACTCACAGAGCCTACATAAGTGAGAGAGTGAGAGAACATCTACTGGAGTACACAAAACCCATTTTAGAGATCACAAGAATAAGATTTACAAAACAAAACATGAAAGTGCATAGTAATGCTGGGAGAACTCTGTACTTCAAAATAATCATACTACTGCATATACCTTAAGGAATTCTTTCCCCTCATTTATTTGGTCTTTAATGATTTAATTTTCAATTGCAAAAGTAATACATAAATACAAGTCAGAAGATAATAGAAAATAGTGAAAAACATAAAGAAAAAAAGTGAAGGTCCTACTTAACACCTCTTTCAACCTGACGCCTTTCCCCAAAAGACAACATCATGAATTCTCAGGCATGTATCCTGATTGTTTCCTATTAATTGATAAATATCTATTTAAAATTACTACAAATGAATAGTGGTTTACTTTGGGGAAGAGTAATGAGGATAAGGCAGAGAAGGCCAGCTATTCTCTTTCTTTTTTT